AGGTGTTCTCTATCAAACTAACTCCATTCAAAAGTTACCAGAAACTTTAAGGGTAAAAATATAGATGATAAAAAGTCATCAGATATGCAGCATTGTATGTATGACATTAATTGTTTAAAATTGCATTTTTAGATTAATATATTCAATACATTATCTACTCTAATTATAAACTGCTGTAACTTTAAAGTCAGGCATGTGGCTTGTTCATCTTTAATGTATAATCGTCGAGATCTGTATGGTAATAATTACTCAAAAATGTGGCACAGGCTGTTTGATGCTTTTGAAAATTCTCAAAATTTACCTCATATTTGTGAATACAAGCATCAACAAAAACTAATAAATCAGGTTTGTAAAAAAAATACTGTAACATCTAATTAACATGTTTTATATTGGAACAAAATCTGCTGTATTTAGCTTATTAATTCAAATGTTCTATGCATACTTGGCTAATGATATATAACCATACAATTGATACTAAAATATAATCAGTATTGAATGTGGTAATATAATATGTCTGTTTGATTAACAATATCGCCTAATGGGTAATTTTGTTAGTAAATATTTGAAATAATTTTAAAATTTAATTTATTGTTAATTGAAAACATATTAATATAATTTTACTTTATTTGACTAATTGCCACACACAAAATTATCTATAATTAATTTAATTTTCTAGCTTTGTGCATTGTTTTGCAATTTGTGTAATTTACTTGAACTATCAGACATTGGTGGTTTAACTTATTTGTTTGACTCTCGGCTACATGTAATTCAGAATGAAATGGAAAAGTTTTGTAATTTTAACGACATTCCAAATTATTCTGAAATGTTAGCAGCAACACACAACCATTTGCATAATATGCTGAAAACCAAACAACTCACATCTAAACAAGAAGAGATCATAAACAACTTATTGAATGTATTTGTTAACCATTAAATTGTTATATGACTTTGTTATTCAATTGAATAATGAATATAATTTATTTTAATAAAATATATTTATTTTATTCGAAGTATTTGAATTACTTTTATTACCAATAAGTATTAAAAGTATTGATATATAATGCATTTTCAAAACCAAAATATAGAACTTAAATAAAAGTGCATTTAATAGAGCAAAATACTATTATAATTGACCTCCATTACAACCCAAAAAATATTATTACACAAATTTAAGCTTGTGAGTTGATAAATTTTGGTTAAATCTGTTCTGACTTAAAGTTGACAAAAAACTTATTGCTGACCCAATAAATCAATATAATTGAAAACAAATTTTTTTGCAACATTACATCGTTTATTTGATTACCAAAGGATTTAACGTGTTATGTTTTTAGGTTAAATGATTAATTTTTAACTTGGATAAAATTACAAGTTAATCCTTTAAAAGTTTAAAGAAAATGTTAATTTAATAGTAAAAAAATATTAATTGTAATAATATATATTGTTTTAATAATTTCCTTATAATCAGAATGCTTTTGAAATAAGTATTAAAAAAAAATATTTGGACACTGGTTACCTAATGTATAAAAAAAAAAGAGTGTAATTATAAGTTTGACATAAATTTGGAACCAATATCCATGATTATGTTATAACAGTCAACTTATTAAAATATGTAAAATATGAAATGATTTACATGTTTATATCAGTTATAATAAGATAGTATAACCGAACCTAGTCTAAATATTTTAATAAATTACTTTACATTTTTATATTTTTCATATACCACATATTTTTATTATGAATGTTTAATATTTTGTTAAAGTATCGTTAAATATTGTTCAATAAAAATTATTAAATTTAGAAACAAATAAAATAAAATATTAAACGTTTTTAATCTAAAAATGTTGTTTGTTCTCAATTTTATTATACCATCTGTTCTAGAAAATTATTCAAGTATAATAAAAGATACATGTTTTGAACATCAAACTCATCATAGGCGTGCGCAGACTTCTGGGTCAAGTATGACTAAATTCAATCTGACCCCATCTCCTCCCTGTCAAAGTGGACAAAAAAAAAAATTATGGAGATTTTTAATACTAACTTTGCAGTGACCCCTTTGTTGGTGATTGGAAAATGTAAACAATCATTTTTCATTATGTCATACATACAATTCATCAATATTGACTTAAAATTTTAACCAAATATAATCTAATAAAATAATTTAAAAACGTTCAAAACATAATACATAATTTTAAAAATTGTCAATTAACATTAATATTCGTATTTATTTATTATTTTAAATTTTTATTATATAATTTGTATGTATATACATTACGTACAATTATGTTCTCGAATAAAAAAATGTAATTATTATACTATCTATACTTTTATCTAATCGTGTAAACATCTATGATTTTGAATTATTTTGTTATTAATTTTCTATGGCTATAATGTCTTATTACTTTTTTAGGCACTAAGTACCCACTCTTGTATAAAAAAAGTTCAGGTCGGGCTAAAGCCCATCAGCTCTATCCATGCGCATGCCTATGATACTTATACATGAGAGATAATAAGTTAACCATAGGGAACAAACATGGGCTTACAATAATTGTGTTTATTTATATTGAGTATGTTATAGAACTAAAACACAATAACACAAAATTGTTAATGAATGTTTTAACATGTTTTTTAAATGTATTTAAATATAGTACTATAAAAACCGAGAAAAATATTAAAGTACAGATATTGTAAAGTAAAACGCACTATTTCTTTTTTAAATACATTAAAGATAGTAATAAATAAACAATAAAATATATTATTTTTTTTGATTGGTTTATTAAAAAAAAAACAAAAAAACAAAATTAACACAAAAATGAAATAGTTCACAAAAATGACTATACCATACCAGACTTAAAATAATTATTACTAGTAAAATTAATATCTAGTCACATTTTAAATTACAAAAAATAATAAAGCACCTGATTATATCCAATGGATTAACTTGATAATAATCAAAGCGATACAACCGTTAAAAAAAATATACATGTCAAAAATAAACCATATAAATTCACATAAATAAAATGTATTATACCCTGAAATATTTATGTTTTGAATTAGTCAATTTATTTATACATATTTTACTCAAACATTACAAAGAAGAATAGAAAATTAAGTGAATTATTACTTTGGTTGAGCACCATTTTTTAAATATTTACTATTATTTACTCACTATGAGTAGGGTCATCTACTATTGATCAATAATTTATCTACTGTTAAATATGTTAAATTAAACTACTCATATGTCATGTTAGAGATATATTACATTTACTGGTGTTAAGTTTAGAACATTTAAATTAAATACATTTACATCATGGTATTATTTTTGTCTGGTAAAATAAAAGTTAAATAACAAAAATAATAATAATAATAATTGGAACATTTCAAATTATACAATGTAAATTATTGAAATAATAACAACATTAAGAATAACAAAACACAAAATTAAATGCATAAACAAAGTAATACAGATAAAAAAGTTGAAAAACAAAATTTGCTTAAAATACTGGATAATTTAAAAATTTACAGTAAGTATATTTCCTTATAAGAAAAACTAAGTATTTTTTTATTAAAAATATATGATTATATTTGATTAAATTTGTATTAATTTTGTCTAATATAGTGTGTCTAGTCTTTTAATTTACAAAATTGATATGATTGCATATTTAAAAAACACATCTAAAACTGTACCACTGATCTACAAGGTTTAGTAATTTAAATATATAATATAATACATCAAAAAGTAAATTATTTTAGAATAATACTATTAGTATTTTATTTTTGTAAAACTATGTAACTTTATATTAATTATGTGTATGAACTATGATTATGATTCAATTAATAATTTGATGAACATATTAAATTACATTAAATACATTACATATAAATTTATACTAACAGAAAGATAATGAAAATACAACATTAACCATTATACATATAACCTAAATCACACAATAAAACCAATCGCTACCGTTGTGCATTAGAATAAAACAACAAATGAATGGCAGCATGGAAATGAAAGCGTGCAGTCTTATAATTAAGGTAATAAAAACCTCATTTTGTCTTATAAAATGACTAGTAATTTTTGGTTAGCCAAATGTTTATGAAAAAAGGGAAGCATTCAAGAGTTTAATTTTTTATACATGATTGTAAAGGAAGTTTTATAGATTAAAACAAATTTATTGTCTTATATAAATGGCTTAATGATTAATAGGTTTTCAATTTTAATATAAAATTATATGACGAGATATCACACATTTTTGGAATAGGCATGTCATATTGGATATGTTTATATGAATTCAACTAGGGAAATTATTAACTGTTAATAGACTATTACAGTATTTGATCAATTATAAATTTTTTATACCTGAAGAAGTAGTACCAAAATACTAAGTTTAGACAATTAAAATATGGTGGTATTAATACAAATAAGAATAAGATAAAACATTTTTTTGATTAAAAATGATATAGTTTTGTATGGAACACTCAATAACTTGAACATTTAAAAATAAACATTATATTTATTTTTAATGTATGGAAAATCCTAAGTTATTTAGTATATTATTTTAAAGTGGAATTAATTAACCCTGTGAATAAATATAATATGAAATAAATATTGTGTGGTCTATCAAAATATAATTTAATCTAAATCTATGTAATATGTCCTCTGATAACTATTTAGTATTTTGTTACACTTAAGCACCCTACACTTAAAAGCACCTCTTAAATACTATAAGATCAACATGACCTTAATTAAATTAAATGACTTAGAATTTTTACTAAATCTCAGATCAAATACTTGATATTTTTAACACAAATATAACCTAACTTCTTACTAAAAAAAATTCAGTTAAATATATTATAAAATAAGTATGGATCAGTTTGGACATAGATTAAAATGTAATATATTAACTAGTAATTTGCATATCAATATATTTAATCTATGGTTCAGATCTTAATGTTATCTTAAAAAAAAATTTGAAAATAGTGAATATTTAATTTTTAACTTGTTTATGATTCAAAAATTAAACCAAATGTCAAAACTAAAAAATATAAAAAAAATTATCAAACTAAATCACCAAACAGCAAATTGATTACACACCGACTCAAAAATTAGTATCAGTGTATTCAAATCTTAGCTATGTTTCACAATAACCAGGATTTATAGTAATATTTGGTATTAATTCAATTCGTTCAACATCATCGCTGTTTTCCAATCCTAATTAAAAACAAATAATATTTAGTAGAATAGGTATTAGGTACTAAAATAATAATATTTTTGAAGAGAAAACTTGTTCTAAGTTTTTTCAAATACGATACATACAACTAACACTTGTTAATATTTTTTTTTTTTATAGTGTAATAATTAATGAATCAAATGAAAGATCTTCTAAAAATGCTTATTAACATTTAAAATGTCTAAGAAAACATTATAATCTAATCGTTTTTAAGAAAAAAATTTGAATAAAACAAATATTTAATCGAGTATAATGTAATTCATTCATACAGCACTAATAAAAATTATTACTTTTTTTTTTAATCTGAAATGGACAATAAGGATTAATACAAAATTACTTTTGTCTATTTTCATATTAAAATTATGTTTATCAATATTTAGACAAACTAAAATATATTCAATTTTTAGTAACTATTTTACTTTATTTGGTTTTACCCTATATTAATAAATTGTGAAATAAATATTTCTAATTAATTACAAGAAGTCATTTTTTTTAGAAACTACAATTAATACAAAGATAAGTTAAAAAAAATTCCCTGTACCATTTCAAAACCTAGGGTTCAAATGATTCACAGTTCTATACAATTAAAAAAGAGAGCATCTCTAAATTCAAAATGAAATAAATAATATAAGAGTGTATAAGTTACATACTTAAAAAATGTAACTCTAATTGTATTGATTTTTTTTTATACCAAAGTAATTAGATTCTATTTCTAAATTATTTATTAAATTAATTAAAGAATGATACACTAAATTTGAAGTAAATTATACTTACTTTTCTGCACTCTGGGATCCTTGACAAATAAGCAACACAATGCTATTACAAATATACTAAAGGTACTCATAATCACAACCACTGCAAATGTCCACGCTCTTGTATCAAATGTATTAATACCTTCTAAAAGGTGTTTTTCTAACTCTAAAATAGTAGAATATTATAATGACAATACCAAATTATTAAAGCTACTTTTTTAGAATAATATTATGAATAATTATAACAACATTTTACCAGATTCTGTCATATCGCTTAATGTTTTAGTGGTCAATTCAGTTTTAGCTCCATCACCTATATCATTGTTGGCCCAAATTTGAATTTTATATAATGTATTTGGACGCAGCGAGTAAATATTTTTGAAAACCTATTAAAAATAAACACAAAAAGAATAATTTATAGGTAGAAAACTGTATAATATTTTTTCAAGTAAATTACAAAAATGTATGCAATTAAATTAAGCAATAACATTGTTCACAATAAATCATATAATTTCCTTTAACACAAATCAAGGTTATTTTGTAAAAATAAAATAATAATCCAATACAAGACTTTCAATTAAGAACGTCTCTATAGTACTTTAATGAGAATTGTTTTTCAAATGCAATAATAAAAAAAATTTACATAGAAATGAATCCGTCATGATTTGCATCAATGATTGTAATAACTAATTTATAACATATTTGATCACACAAGGTATTTTAGATTACTCAAATATCAAAATACATATTTTATAGGAAAACTAAAATTATATTTTATTTATTTATAATATATTTAATAATATTGATTGATTTTTATACATTTTTGATTTTATAATTTTTACTGATAATAAATAATAATATATATCATACTGTTATATGATAATCTTACAAACTTTAATACTATTAAAAAAAAAGGAATTGTTTTATTATTGAACACTAAAAAATAATCAAAGTAAATTTCTAATTTAGGACACATATGGTATTTGTAACCAAGTACACATTTAAAAAAAATTTATAAATTCAACATTTTAAATAGTATTTAGTTATAACTTCACAATTACTTGAAGATATCTGAATGTATAAAAACGTTCCAGGTAAACATATCTCCAATACAAAATACCTCCTGTTAAAAATATCTTTAATGGAAATATCTCCCATGAAAACATTTTAATATTTATTATATAATCATAATAAAATTGATGTCTAAATGATTACTGAAGTAAGTATATATTCTACTAATAATGTTTAGAAAATAATCCCATAGACAATGATAATTAATCACAACATTACATTGTTACACTGATCAATTTGTATTATCTGATATATTTTTCATGAGTGCAATTAAAAACCACGATAAACGACTGTATCAATAAGACAGTGTGTCAGTGTAGACACATAGCTGGTATTGACTATGGTAATTCTAGTTATACTGAAATTCACACAACACAACGGATTTAGATTAAACAATGCCTTTACAATTAATTGTAACTTGTAAGTCAAAAAAGCAACAAGTTATTAATCATTTATGAAATATTTAAGGGGAATAGCCCACTATCTTGAATTTAAAATTTTATCATGATTGGATTTTATATTTATTTATTTAATTTTTGTAAAAATAACATATTTATTTTTAAAATTACACATCATGATTACGATAACATATTTTTAAGTATTATTAAATATTTTCGTGGGAAATATTTCCATAAGAGATATATTTAATAGGAGGTATTTGGTACTGGTCAAATTTTAGAGATATGAGTTATTTTTAAAATAAAAAATACCTATTTAAAATATGGCAATACCTCTTAGGGCAAATTAAGTTTTTAAAAAAGAACTTTCTTTCTCATTTTTTAAAATATAACTTGCAATTTAGTATTTACATTATTTTTTATACTAAATTTTCAAAAATAATAGTCTTAAAAAAATACTTCTTTCACTTGTATATCTGTATGTGTTATTTTTATCTTAATAATATAAAACTTAGTATGTTTTGTGTTAAGCAAAATCCATATTGTTTTTAATTTAAATATTAGAGTTAATTTAACAAAATTTATTAAAATTAAAAGTAAGAATATTATTTATGACATTTCATAGGCTTTTATTGGTTATTTCATTTTAAGTGAGTTATAGTTGTGTAAAATATAATCACTTTAAAAATGATAAAAAAATCTTCTAGGGGCCCTAGATAATATTCCTATCTTTAAATTATATAACAGGTAAATTTATTAACATAAAAACTAACATCAAATAGATTCTACTGAATGCAAATTTTCTGTTGTATGTTAATAATAGAAACAACACAATATCCTCTTAATTAATATCCAAGTTAAACGAAACAAAGTTGTGTAAAAATTAATTAAATGTTGAAATCAATACCTTAACAAAAAAATATTTCTCTATGGTATATAAAAAAAAAGTGTTTTAACCATAAACTATTATTACCTTAGATGGATTTACTTGAAGAACATTCCAATCATCTCTTGAATTTTTATCGTCTATAATTCTGTACCTAATGGTAATATTTTTAACAGATAATTCATCATTGTTTTCTATTTTTCTCCATGTGATGAGCATTAATACAGTATTAGGTATAACTTTTACATCTATCAAGGATCCAGGTACACCTGCGATAATTGAAATGCTATTCAGTACATTCAGAAATACAATTTATTATTTTACTTACTTTTTGGTTTTAGTTCAAATTTAGCCAGTGGAGCATGCTCAACATAGCCATTAGCAGCTGCTAGATCACAAATATAAACACCAGCATCTGATGAATTGAATGATGAAATGAATAAATTTCCATTTTCCAAAATTTTAGCTCGACCAGGTAATTCTTGATGATTAATTTTCCACAACACATTGGAATTTTTAATGTTATTGCTGCCACATTTTAGTGTAACATTTTCACCAAGTTTTGGATACATTTTTATATTATTATTATTTAACCCATTTGTATCTGAAACAAAATAAAATTATAATGCTCATAAATCAATTACTTATGATCTATTAACAATTTTAGAACAATTAAAATTTGTTAACTATGACTGTAGTCTGAAATTACTTAATTGAAAGAATCAGTTTTTAAAAACATATAGTAGATATTATGATTAATATATATTTTTTAAATTGGTAAGTACTCACATGGGACTGAAAAGAGTGAAACAGTGATTATACAAACACAAACGAATTCAATAAATTGGTAATAAATCATATTTAAAGGTGCATCTTGAAACTTTATTAGTATATAATTTATTCAATATTTGAAACAATTTTTGAGACGAATTCACAAACTCGAAAACTACGCGACACTTAATACAATGTATACAAAACTAAGATTTATTAATTATTGTTTAATGTTTACCATACACTACATAGGTTTAATATGAATGTACCTATATCAAATCAATTTGATCAAAAAAAAAAGTTAACAGAAACTAAAGACATTAGAAAACTAAAGATTGTAGATGATAAGTATTTAATAGATTCAAAACTTCTTCTAAACTCTAAAGGTTGGAACCTTAATGTTGTATACAACTGTGTACATTAGTAAATTACATTAATACATAGTTTATACCTATATACTTATTTATTATCGATAAATCAGTGCATCAAAACCGTAGACAATAAAAAGTAAGAATTAAGCTCACGAGTACAATTATTATAGTTATGATATTATTGAAACACTATCTATCGATTGATTATACGATCTTATTTTTGTATTTACGATTCCTGTACTAATTTTTCAACAATTTAAAATTAAAATTTTCCATCAATCAATTTTTTAAGTACTAACTAGTAAATTTTAATTTTGAAATTATTTTTAATTAATTTGTTTGTATGTAATAAGTATGTATTTAAGTTATATATATGCGTGTGTGTATGTTTATATTATTATTGAGCACAGTGCCATTTTACAATCGTATTGATAACAATTTGTTGACGTTTGTGATTAGCGCCAATTGTTTTGAACTCATATTCATACTTGAATACTTCATGTAAAAAATTATAATTGTTATATTATACTATTGTCTGTTTGAATGTAATTTTTGCTCGATTGACCGATTTATATATTAATGATTTAAAGAATAAAAGTATGTGAAACATACTAAAGTGACAGTATTGTTTTGACAGATTTTTAATATTTTTGACATATGAATTTAGAAGTGTTCAACAGAGTGAACTGGAAGGTACAAATATTTTTAATAACTTTTATTTTTATGTAGTAATTAATATCTGTAAATAAAAAATTACGATTATATAGAAGTATATGCAATAACATTAATATCAAATGATTTGGACATTACCGATTTTTTTGATATGTGCTGATACTAATGCTACTCCTTCTCGAAAAATAATAAATAGCTTGCTATCACTACTGCAACTTTTTATTTTTGTTAAGTAGTATGCTATTTTTAATGTTACTTTTTTATTAAATTTTTTAAGTATTTGTTCATTATTTTTTTATGCACATCACTATTTTCTTGTATTTTCAGACATGTTCTATGTATCATGTATGTCATGCATTTTTAAATATTTACTTACATACTAATATTTAATATATACAAATGAGTTCACTTTTCCTAAAAATACATTACAGAAAAAATAGAGACCAGGCTGAGTCATTAGATAGTAACATAGTTCAGTAAGATTAAATACGAAAAATACACTCATTATTATTGATATTATAGTATAAATAAATATAATATTTGTAGTATGTAATGACAAAATGTTGATAATTAGTGTGCTACTCTTACTACTTATTATATAAAAATATTAACCACTATAAAACAAAATTATTCACATTAGTTAATATTTCTAATTTATCATTTTATCAAACATTTAATTAATCGAGTTTATAAATCTTTTTATTTTTTTATTTGATAAACTTGGCATAAAACCTTTATTTTTAACAATTAAATCTAAATACATAAATAACAAACCATAAAATTAAGAAATAGTTTTTTTTTTTTTTAATCGTGAAACCAGATTGGTAAAATGGCTTAAGTGTGATAACAAAATGAAAATTACAATAATCTGAAGGGAGGAAGGATTAATTAAAATATTTTTAGAATTAATAAAAGTAAGAAAATAAATGGGCAGTTAAGTAGAAAGTTGTTGAATTAAAATAATGGTAACTGATGAATATGTAATAATATGATATTTAATTGTTTTAAAAAATACTTAGAAATCATGATTTTGTGTTATTTAGGAGGGCACTGGTGGACGTTCTGGTATGTATTGTGAATGGGCATCACTGAGTTCAACAGTTCAAAACTGTGGTGAATTCGGTCAAAGTGTTTTAAGTAAGTTCCCGCCAGGTTCAGGAAAGGAAGTTGTGTTGTCTGTCATCAAACAACTGTCGTCAAATTTAGGTATAACTCAACCACCTGAACCAAGTAAACTTGCCAAAGATAATGAAGTGACCTGGTGTATGGAAGTCAGTTAATTTAAAAATTAACAATGCAAAATATTTATTGAAATCATGTTTATTTTAGGTTATTTGTTATGGTCTGAGCTTACCATTATCTGAACATGATACAATTAGAGATTGTGTTCATATATATTGTGATTGGCTTTCAGCGTTATATGAAACACCAAAGCTATCAGTTCCAAAACCAGTATGCAATGATCCAAATCTATATGCTAGAAAAATAATTTCACATTTCTATAATTTATTTGTACCCCGGAAAGGAGAAGGTAAATAAATTTAATTTTATCAACAATATTTTAATAATAAGTTAACTTGCCATAATACTTAATAGTATACTTATTAGACCTATTATTAAAATTATTATAATAATAAGAAAAAAAATTGTGATTTTTTTGTTACAAGTCTGGACATTTTTGTATTTAAATATTGGTAAGGAATCGTATAAATATAATAAATAATATAGAGATTAATTAACATTATAATTGAAGTTATTATATAATGTTACTTTAGTTTCTGATTTTATTAATAGTTATTTTATGCTGATTCATAATTGTATGTATTTTTAGGTACTGATGCTATTAATCGCCAAGCAGTTTTGTGTCATCGTGTTTTAAGAACATTGCATGATTTGTCAAGAACATCTAAAATTATTGAACCAGAAACTTGGGAAGCTTTGTTACTATTTCTTTTGGCAATAAATGATGCCTTGTTAGCTCCACCAACTGTTAAAGGTATAAGTACTTTCAAATATTTTTATTATGCTTGATCTGATAATTTTTATTGCTTAAAATATAACACAGTCAAGTTCTCAATAATTTAATTCTAAAAAAAAAAATTTGACATATATATTTTTTGGGTACTGATCTATATGACCTCTTCTAAGAAAGTATTCTTTGTTATTCAGGTTAAGTTGATATCTGTCATTTACTTCTTTCTTGTTATCAGTATTCTAATAATTTGTTATAAAATGTGTATAATACAGATAAAAAAGGTGCAAAAATTATTTAAAGTAGTCATGTTAAACACCATTTTTTGAGATATACATCTTAAATATCTCTTAAAATAACTTCAAAGGGCATAAAAACATTCCAATTACAAATGTTTTTAAATTATTGTGATTATTGTTTTTTTAAATTATCATCGATGTTGAATTTTTACAGAGGATGTTGGAGAAGAATTGTGTGAGCGAGTACTAAGTGTTTTGATAGAAGTATGGCTTGTGGCATGTGTTCGTTGTTTTCCTTCGCCTTCATTGTGGAAAACATTGCGAGAAATGGCAGTTACTTGGCGCCATCGTACTGCTTTGATTCATCAATGGAATCGGATAAATTTAGCACTTACTGCTCGTGTATTAACATTCATGTATGGTCCAGGTTTTCCACAATTAAAAATACGTATGTACAGTTTTTATTAATTCAGTGGTGAATGCTGACTCCAGAGCACATGCATAGCTCAAGCTCATTTATAAATTATTAATACATAATTTATTATACACTTGTACTTAGTATAGTCGAATAACAATAATCATCATTGTCAAAATGTAGTAATTTAATGAACACGCACTAGTTAGTAAGTACTAGGAAATATGGATGCTAAGAATCTAGAAAAGAATATTTTCATATAATTCATAACAGAATAGTTCTCGTCACTGCAGGTATTTCCCTATAAAATTATAAGCATAATGCAATTAGCATAACATATACATAACACATTACTTCATGTTCTGCTAGTAAAAAATATGATAAGGCCATAATGAATATGTTACTCATAATTGTTTAACTAAAATTGAAATTGTAATGAAACTTTTGTCATGCATTATTGTTGTTATAAAGTTTATAACTAATTTAACTAATAATTTATGATAGAATAGTTTTTGTAAGCATATTTATTTATAAATAAGCATTGTATGTATAGCATGTCTGGAAATTTTACCACTGTATAAATTATGACTTTTAGTTGATAAACAATAAAAATATCAAATCAAATCATTTTTATATTTTAGCTAACGAAGACATTCATCTGATACCATCTGGAATGTCTAATCACACTATAGCTCAAAGTTGGTTTAGACTGCTACAAACTATTGGAAATCCTGCTGATCTCAGTCGACCAACTACAATCAGCCGAACTCCCAAATTTCTTCAAGCTGCACTCTCTGACCCCAATCATAGACTTGTGGATCCATCAAATCATCCGTGTTTGAATGTATTGCCTTACAATTTTTATGTAGCTATACGTGGGATTGCATCACTTGTTGATGCATTTTTAGGCAAGGATTTATTATTTAATTTCTTTAACCTCTTATTCTTGGTGATAAGAAAAAATATTTTTAAATAACACCTCTTTAATTTTGTAAATATAAACATAAATGCACATTTTTCAAAATAGGCATTGTTTCTCATCCTACTATTATTTGGGATGATGTTTTACCTTGGACTTCAGGAAACATTTTGGAAAAGAAAGAAGCAAATATAGTTACACATACACCGCCTTCGCAACGTCGATTGGCTAAGAGTTTTAGCGTTGCACCTTCACTTACTAATAAGGGTATATATTTAATCACAAAATTAAATTGTCTCGTTAAATAAAGTAGTTTTTACTATACATATGCAGTTGGAAATATATATACTGTATAGGTATGCACAAAAATTTCATGTGTGTCTAGAAAATTTGTTTTTAAAACAATTTGTTGTATTTGAATTATTATGACTACTAGAGAAGTAAATAGAAAATATTATGTTGGAAGTATTAATCAATGATAATCAAAATGTAATATAAATGAAAGCACAAAATCTTTATACGTATATCTGTGTCAATTATTTTAACATTAATGATGAAAGGTTTAGTTCAATTATTAATTTTATTGCTTAAAAACATACAAATTAATTTTAAGCATATGTATAAATATATTATAACAAGATATTTACGGTGTTGGCAGTTGGTGAAAGCCCAAGGATAGTGACTTTCTAGACTATTTCTTTTCTGCCT